TGTAGATGAAAGAAGAGTGTGGATATCATTAAATCATTATGAATATATATGGAAATATTACAGTGAAATCCATTAAGTTGTGCCATAGTAGAACTGAATACTTATAGTAAAGGTTATTCGATGAATTGAAAAGAAAAATGAGGTCAGGAAGATCATGATGTATGGGCATTAGGAGAAAGATCCTGCTGAAAAATAGGACAGCAAGGATCTGTTCCTTTTTATTAGTTTTGAAAATCAAATTTAGAAGTTATTTTATGATTGAAAAATATATTTACATGTATCATTTTTACTAATAAAATTGCATTTTTCTTAATAAGAAAGTTTGGGGATTATGAAATTAAAGGCTCATATTTTAATATAACCATACCCAGTATTAAGTGTGCAAGTTGAAAAGTCATCTCACCTTGCATTAGTGTTTTTCTCATCTGCCAGATGAAAATAATAGCAGTACCTTTAATGAAAGCTATATGTGGTGCCCCAACTAGCTACACAGGTCCCAGAGGAGTTGAGTCCTACCCAACCCAGTCCAAGGCCCAGTGCCATTCTTTGGGGGTGTGCCTGCCCAGCACATCGGTCCTGGGAGTTCCAAATTTCTCAGAGCCCTGTTTCAGCACAAGGCCCTGTTGCACACTTCAGTGTGCCAGCTGCAGTGGTCCCACCTAGCCCAGCTCAAAGCCCTGGTTCTACACTTTGGGAGTGTACCCTGGCCAGGTTCACTGGTCCTGGAGGAGTTGAATCCCACCCAGTCCATCTTAAAGCCCAGGTGAGGTGCACCTTGGCTAACTACATGTGTCCCAGAGGAGCCATGTCCTGTCCAGCCCAGCACAAGGATCCAGTGCCATACTTATGGGGTATCCCCCAGCCAAGGTTCCAAGCTCTGCCCACCCTAGTGCAAAGTTCCAATGCCATACTTTAGGGCTATGTCTCGGCTAATCACATGAGTCCTGGAGGAGCTGAATCCCCCCAATCTAGCTCAAAGCCATGGTGTCATACTTCGGGGATGTGTCCCAGCAAGCCAAGCTAGCCATGGAGGATCCAAGCTCTAATCAGCCAAGCATTGCAGTGCAGTTCATCAGAGGGGTGCCTGGTCAGTGGTACACATCCTGGAAGTACTAAGCCCTGCCAGCCCAGCCTAAGTCCCTGGAGCCATCCATCACGAGAGACCTCAGGCTAGCCACAAGATTCACGGAGGTCCCCAGCTCAGCCCAGTCCAATGCAAAGCCGGGGAATAAGACTTTGGGATATACCCTGGCCAATCACATGGGTCTCAGAGGTTCTGAGCTCCTCCCAACCCAGCACAGTGCCCCAGTGCCATCCATTGGGGAAGCACCCTGATGAACCTCAAAGGACTTGGAGGAGCCAAGCCCTCCCAGCTCAGTGCCCAGGTGGATCCACGGAGCATCCCAGGGAGCAACTAAAGTACCAACTTCATGAGGTTATAGAGGAAATTAGATCAGAAATAATTTCTCAAGTAAATAAAGAAATGATAAACATAATGAAAGAAATGTTGAGCATATCTAAAGATACTGATAAAAAATAGTGGAATGTAAGAAAATGATGGAAACCTTAAATGAACTATGTAGGAAAGAATTGGAATGCATGAAACAGATTCAAAGCGATATTCAGGAGATTAAAAATTCCATTGAAAGCTAGCAAAACACTTTGATCGAAGCTGAAGATAAGATTCTCAGACATTGAAAAAGGATAGAAGCTAATGATCATGAAAAGAAAGATCTCTTAAAAGTAACAAGGAAACAACAATTCAACACCTGCAAGATGATGCAAAGAAAAACAATATGAGATTAATAGGTGTCAATCAAAAAGCAGATGTCAAAGTAAGTGACATAAAAAGACTATTTGCAAAAGTAATAGCAGAAAGGTTTCCAATCATGGGAAGAGACCCTGACATACAGATATATGAGGCATATAGAACTCCAATTAACCATAACCAGAATAAATCTACATCCAGTGGTATAATAATTAAAATCCCAGAAATTCAGCACAAGAAGGAAATACTAAAACCTGTCATACAAAAGAAACAGATAACCTATCAAGGAAAATCCATCAGAATCACATCAGACTTCTCAACACATATCATCAAGACAAGAGGAGCTTGGCATGAACTATTTGAAGTTCTTTTTTTTTACTATTTCAAGTTGTGAAAGAAAACAATTATCTTTCAAAATTGATGAAAAATAAGCTACTTCCATGATACAGAACAACTGAAAGAATTCATGACCATTAAGCCAACCCTACAGAGTACTGAAAGATACAACTGTAACCATTAAAATGTAGATGGCCTCAATTCATCAAGGAGAGTGGATCAAGAAACAAGATCCATCTATATATACAAGAAATACATTTAACTTGAAAGGAAACTCATACCCTGAAATCAGAGAAGAGAAAACAATTGTTCCACATGATAGGAGACAAAAAAAAAAAAAAAAAAAAAAAAGCAAGGGTAACTTGCCCATCAACCGCAGAATGGATAAGAAATATATTTTCATATAGTGGAAATTTACTCAGCTATAAAGAAGGATAGCCTTGAGGCTCTTGTAGGTAAATGGATGCAAGTGGAGGTTACTCATGGGTGAAGTGGTTTGGACTCATACTAGTGAACATGAAGTTATTTCTATGAAAACTCATGAACGATACATTTTAAGTGGATATGGTTTTAGTACAGAGAACATAACTTAAAATACATTTGAATAGCCTATGGTTGAGATGCATTTTCTTTCTAGATAATTGTCTTAAAATTTAGCACTTGTATTTGTAAATTATTGTTGCATTTGAATAAAACTGAAAATGAACACATTTTAATGATTTCTGAAATAGTATCAGGCATATGAAAGAGCGAGGAGGAAGTACGTGTGTACAAGCAGCAGAGCTGTTCCCTGGGGACAATAGTGCTGATGATAAACATCCTAACATTCGGTCGCCGGTTCACAGATTCAGACCTAGTGTATGTTTATTTGGCGAATGGGACTTCTGTAATTATATAAATGGAATTTGCACATTTGAAAAATTATAAGCACAAGCAAAGTATTTAATTTGCTGAACTTGAAATGGTATTTATGAAATGTGAAGCACATTATGAATTTGTTTATAAAACCAAATACAGATGCTCCCGCCTTACTTAAGCACAAACCCACTGTAAATTGAAAAGATTACCAGTTAAATGTGTACTTAATAAACCTAACCTAGCAAACATCACAGTTTAGCAGCACAGCAGACCATATTTGTTTTTACTTTTAATCTTGACTGACTAAAAATGTGGCTCACTGCCTAGGAAGAGATCAAAATTCAAAATTTCTATTGCAGGCATACCACATTGGCACCATCGTGAATTCAAAAGTAGTAAGCCGATCCACTATCAACTGGGGAATGTCTATATTTGGGGATGTATTTTCAGATCTTAAATTGAAGGTTAATAAGTCACTCATTTTTTAATGAGTGGCTCAGCTATTCTTCTGTCTTGTATGTAAGTCCATCACAACAAGCCACAGCCACACAATGGTTATTTACGTATTTATCTACACTACTGAGGTTATTTTTCCTTCCTATAAATCTCCTCTTGCTTCACTCATCACATTCCAGTTGTAGGTTATTGAGATTTATTTAAATGTCACCATTTATTCATGTAAAATGATACCTAAGGTCTGACACAATCTCAACTGGAAAAAAAAACTGTCCAAAAATCAGATTATATACTTAAAGTGTCCTTAATTATAAAGCATTTTATACAGTTCAACAATTAATTTTGAAGAAACTCAATTCATGCTTGCACAAGGTACTTTGAAGGGCACTGACAGATGCAGAGATGAACCAGACTCTCTCCTAAAAATTCTTAATTGACTTTTATCATCTTAGTGGCTTATTAAAGACACATTTATCCATCAATGTTTGGTTTTCTTAATAGCCAGTTAGTTTAGCTTCATAATTTAATTTAATGAGGGTGGAGTGGCACAGCTCAATACTGCTAAGTCTGTTATATTGTAGAGAGATATTTTTGGACAAAATGATAGGCAGTGTTCTGAGAAGATGTTTTTACCTACGATGGCATGCAAGTGTGAAGTCCACTGAATTTCTGCCTGCATCAGTACCTGCTCTTTGATTGGTAGATGCAATGTACCATAATCAGTGTTGTCCCCTTCTTTGGGAAATGATCTAACCCCAAAAGAGAGCCAAAGGAAATAATACTGAACATATGGTCTTTTCTTCCCCCATAAATCACACTCTATAGGAAATCTTTTCAACTAATGTCAAGATTTACTAAATCTAATCCTGTGTTGGCAAGTCTAAAAAACTGATAAGTAGATCTAGTGCCCATCTGAGAAACCAACTACCACATGTGAGAATATATATCAGGTAAGACAAAGAACAGGAAGAGGAACTCAAGTCTTCATAGTTACAATCTTGTTTCTTTGCATCACTCCACAACCAGAGGAAGCAGAGGAGTGGGGATGTGTGTGGGGTGTGGATGTCACAGACAATCAATGAAAGAGAATGTTCTTTAGGTAACTTCCTCTGCACAGAACTACTAGAGAACTTCTTATCGGGAAAACTTATTTCTAAGGAAGAAGTGTAAAAATAGAAGTGAAAACTGAAGAAAAGAAAGAAGAGCAGAAACCAAGGATGGAAACAACAGCTATCGTGTGTAAATGTAGATTAATAGTAGGGTATTGAGTCACCTATTGTGCCTGCCTACTTCTGAGAGGTGTAGTTTTGTTTCATACAGTAATAATCTATCTTAGCACTATTTTCTAGAGATGGTAGGAAACAATGGCCTAAAAGAAGAAAGACATTTTGCTAAACATTACCTTCTAAAACATGTATGGCAAGTTTTGATGCTGTTTTAGAAATCATTCAATTGCCCTCAAAACATCCTGCTGGCTTTTCTCCCAGAGCAAGCAGCTTGGGCTTCCCTAGTTGCTGGAGTTTCCTAGGCAACAAGAATGTAAACTTGAGAAGAGGCAAGCCTGGAATGGAGATTGACAGTGAGCTGAGCCAATCCTGCCAAGAGTGTGTATTGTGTTCCCAGGCCACCCAATTAGGGCTAAGAGAGTTGACTAATACTTCTATGAAAGGCAGGTAAGAAAGGGAATTCACAAAGGTATGGGAGGAGACCAGTTTTCCAGATGCAGGAGAGGCGTCCGTAGTTTCAGTTCCAAGCAACACTGACAACAGGTTAGTATTTAAGGTAAAGCAATTCTTTTGACCTGATTACTTTTATTTTGCTTAATTAAGAAAAAAGCATAGTAAATATTAATCTCTAAAGAGAAAACTTAAAATACTGCGATGTCACTGGGCTGTCTTCTGGCAGAAGTAGCTTGGCATTAAAAGTGGATTTGTAATCTTTGAGAAGAAAAGATTGGACAAAAATGTACAAAAGTAAGGGATTGGGGATCTAGCTCAGCCGCATAAGCACCTGCCTTACAAGTGCGAAGTCCTGAGCTCAATCATTGGTACCGGAAAAAAAAAAAAAAAAAAAAAAGTATAAAAAGGAAATTCCACTCAGTAAATGGGGAAAAAATAAAAATTTCATTCACTATGTACTGGGTACACAAGTGCAGAGTGTTTATCTGACGTGGCCTCTTCAAAACTTTTATCAGATAATTGATTGGATTAGTGAAGAAAGCTGTCAATAAGGCAATACTAGTTGCTCAGGCATCTGCACCCTCCTTCCCTTTAGTCTGGAGTGGAAGTAAATCATACTTGCTCATGAAATCCTTTCTTGTTTTGAGACTTCTTGGTTTTTCATTAAAACCTTACAATAAAAAATCTATATTTTATTTTATGCTTTAAATATTAAGATTTCAATTATAAGAATTTGCATTTATATTTGGATGAGTTATCTTTAACATGCTGATCAATTCTAATAGGACTCTAAGATGGTCATCCTAAGAGTTGAATATGGTAGGAAATCTAAAAATAGAGCCAGTGTTTTTAAGACATTGTAGTCTAGTGGAGTGGGCAGTTCTGGAAACAAAGAATTATACTACAGTGCAATGTGTATGCTGTTAGTTTTGTGTAGAGGTTTACAAAGGACCTCACTAGATATTCCACTCTGGTGGGAGTAATTATGTGAGGCTTCACTACAGTGATTACCCCAAAACAGATAGGACTTCTCTAGGCCAACAACGAGGGGAGGTGTTCCTCAAAGTATGATTGTATGTACAGAGGCATAGAGACCTGGAACTTCATGATATCTGAGGCAAATCTGAGTGAATAGAGATGCAGAATGGATTTTAAGTAGGTAAAGAATTAAAAAAAAGCAGGACGAAATCATAGGATCATTCAGTGCATTGATCTAATCCTAAAATATTTCCCTTTCCAATATATATCACTGGAAACTATAAAAGAGTCTTAAACTAGAAAGCAAAGTTCAGGTTTTGATTCTATAAACATTATTCTGATAGTTGTGTGAAGGACTGTAGAGAACAAGGCTAGAGCCAGGGAACTGGGTAGGAGATAGTTGCAACAGTGGATGTAAGAGGGGACCTGTTTGCTTACTGGGTCAGCAGCCACAACATTGAGGGTAATAAAGTTGCCAGATGTGTTAAGGCAGTGAAACTGTATTGGACTTAAATGTAATTGGATGTGGAAGGTGGGGAGGAGTCTTGGAGAATGTTCAGTTAATGTCCTAAGCAAATGGGGTTGCTGTTTCCTGGAGCAAATACGTCGACTTGGTTCTGTGTTAAACTGCATGGTCATTCAAGTGCACATGTTTTATGGGAAATTGGAAATCTAGATTTGAAGCTCAGGAGAATAAAACAACTGCAAGTCATCATTTTGTCATGGGCTATGCCTGACACTTCCATGGATTAGTGCAAGAGGCAGAAAGTAAACACTTGATGGCTGAGAAACGGTAGCATTTAGGGAGCTGGCGGAAGAGAAGGAAGAAACAAGATGAGCCTGACACAAGAAGAAGGAGCAGAGATAGGGAACAGACTCTTACAGATTGAATGGAGAGAGTTTCTAAAGGGAATTTGATCATTAGAGTAAACTGTGGGGAGAAGTAAACCGAATGACTACCGAAATCGTTGATCAGGTTATCAGTAGATTCTAGAGAGCACATTCATTGCACCAACAGGTTGAAGAGTCCACTGAAGTAGTCTACAGTGTGAATAAAGAGAAACTGCAGCAACCTGAAACTCTTCAATGGAGATTCTAGGGTAGGGGCTGTAAAGAGAATAGCCGAGACTCCTGGGCAGGTTGGGGTTTATGTTACAGGTAGATGTTCTCTACGTAGAAGTTCAGCTGCAATACTTCCAGGAGACAGGAGATAAATCAGGATTGCCTTTGAGAGCTGTACCTTTATAGATTTGTAAGAGGCAGGGGTGATGTGAGTCTTTCTGTGATGACTGTTTTTTCCTGTGACTTTCAACACAAGATATAGAGATGAGTAGCAGATGTGTGAATTACTCTGCAAAGCTTGGAGGAAGAAAAGGACCAACTTCATATAAAGTAGAATGGAATATCTCTGAAAGTCCACCTGTACGTAAAAGAATAAATGCATTGGCATTTCTGCACTCTGGCATCTTGGGTACTTTGAAGCATGCTAGGCATTTATAAGAGAGGCAGGGAGACTGGCAGTGAGAGCTGAGCTGCTTAAGTGTGATGAGAATGGTACTCTGTGTGTGTGTGTGTGTGTGTGTGTGTGTGTGTGTGTGTGTGTGTGTAGCAGGGAGGCAGGGCAAGAAGTTCACTTGAACTCATATGTTTAAAATAAGATTGGGAAACTTAGCAAGATTCTTTCCACCAAAAAACAAAGCAAGGCAAGGCAAGGCAGCGTAAAGCAAAACAAAACAAAAGATGATATATGAAATATGTAGAATGAATAAATAAGAAAGTGGATCCAGAATGAGATAGGTTATGGCTGGGGTAAAAATGCATGCTGAAGATTCTAGTTGTCTTTTCATGAACAAGTTTGAATGATGAAAGTTAAAAATGAAACTGAAGTAGGTGTTGAATTTCATACTTTCTTAGAGTGGTTGGACAAACACAACCCTCTTGGAAGGGAATGGTGAAAACAGATAAAGTTAGTACAGGCCAAGAGGCTCCTGGAACTTCATGGTTGTGTGTTGGATGGGTTGCGTGGATGGGCTCTGAGTTTCCCAGACTGAAGAATACCCTTGGATGGAGAGGTCATGTATGAGGCCAGAGTCAGAGTCTCAGGGACAGAGAAAATGGAAGAGGTACAGAGAGCATAACAATACTGCTCAGCTGTGCTGTGCCTCTAAGGAGACCATGAGAATGGGACATAATGGAGGAGATAAGGTGCACTGGAGACTGTGAGTATCAGGGACCTGGCCAAAATCCTCAATATCTCAAATGAGTATATGGAGAAGGCTTAAATAAATGAGACAAGTGTATGATTTTAGGGCTCCAGGAGGATCAAAACCCTCTAGCAGAGTTTGAGACTCTGGGCGCTGGGACAAGGAATGTCTCTGGGCAGCCCATATTTATTTAGTTTTCAAACAAGGAAGGAGTTACCAGTGCAAAACCCAGAAAACTGAGCAGGACCTTGGGAGTGGTTCAAGGACTTTTCCAAGTAACAAACTATGTTAATTTAGGAGAACTATCTTATGTTAATTTAGGAGAAGTATCTTAGGAGAAAGTCTCCAGGTTGACTTTCACTAAAGGAGTGAAATGCCTGCAGCTACAATCTCTATCTTGTTAACTGGGGTCCAGGAGGAGCCAGGTGTCCTCCGCTGTGGCCTTATCTTTCCCTTTGAGGTGTCTCTTCATTCTCAGGTCAGCCATGCCCCAACCAAGTTGCAGCCCTGCACCTGTGTTCAATTTCCACCTTCAGTGGCTCCCAATGCAATATACCTTCTATATTGCAAACAATTTGATGTCAGAAGTGACTTCATCTGAGAAAGCTGTACCACAATTGGAGTTCCTTGCAAAAAATCCAGTAGCAGCTAGATAGAGACATTGTCCCAGTTTCTTTGCAGAAAATCAATAGCACATTTAAAAAATAATAACAGAAAAGAATTATAATCAACTTTTACAAAGCTGTGGGTACAGGGTACAGGTGAAGGACAGCAAGCCCTTCCCAGACTGGCAAGTTTTTATTTGTAATCCCATGAAAAAGCCATTGGAACTTACAACACAGGTGAGAATAAAGACACCAAAGCGTATTTATAGCTTTGGGGAGCCAAAGGGTCCTAAATTCAGCCAGAGGGATTACTAACCAGGACAGGCCTCAACTCAGGACTGAACCTGAATTTTATTCATCAGTGAAGAAGGAAGTGGCTCAAGGATGAGTGACAGTTAGAATGGTGGGGAGTGCACGGGTACTGCTGTGATCTGGGTGAGGTAGGAGTCCTGAAATCACCTCTGCGTTATGCAGAGAGAAGGGTACGTGGAAAGAGAAATCTGGATAACACAATTTGAATTAGCATCTAATGTTTTATCTGATATGTACTCTTTTATGCCCTGGGAAGTCATAACTTCTTATCTCATGGCTCTCTCCCAGCCCACAGAGTGGAGTGTGGCTCTCCTTCTTGCCTAGCTCACACAAGTTTTTTGGTTTGGAGCTACGAGGTAGAGATTGGGGGCAACACTGATCTGTCACTTTGCTGCAAAGACTATAGATTAGTAGCTCAGCTAGACTGACTTATATATTGCTTAAAGCCAATTTAAGGGATAAGGAAAAGTCCTAACCAGCTCTGTACATAACAATACATGAAAACAGGGCCAGGTGTAGCCAAAATGAAGATAATTGCTATTCTTTTAAGGATAGTCTTCCAGGTGGTCCTCCACTGTGAAGAATGACAGAATACCCAGGAATGTCCCAGTCCAGAATGGTGAGGGAAGGAGTAATCTCCAACAGTCTGAAGGAACAGGTCCAGATCTCAGCAAGACCATTGCTGTGCGGGAAAAATTCCATCCTGGTGAAGGATTATAGACACTGAGAAACTGTAGTTTGGCAGGGAGGAAAACAAAGGGAACACAAATTCCAGCCTTCTTCTGCCCTCTGATCTCTTTCTTGGTGATGCCTCTTATTGGTGAGGTCGAGCTGGAAGCCAGTGGAAAAGGGGATGATGTTAATGAGGTCAAACTCTTGCGGTACAAATATGCATGGAGAGCAGATCAGCACAGGGATTTGGGAAACCATCTTCAGCTCAAGGGGGCAGATGGTGATTGGGAAGTTGACCATTTGAGGAGATTCTTAAGTG